TTCGGTAAAGGCAGCGGTGTCGGAGAACGGACGGCGGCGTGCGTCCGTCCTGAGCCGTGGCAGGGAACGTGCAGCGTACGGACGAGCTGGTGAGTCTCGGTCCTGACCTGCTGAGACACACCTCACAGACGTGTGTCCTAGACTGTGGCAGGAGGAGTGACTGACAGCACAGGAGGTCAGAGGTCAAGGTCCTGTCCTCACTGGTGTGGTTGTTGTTACAGGAATGATAACGTAGAGCGATGTCGGCTATCTGTAAAAAAAAACAACAAAAAAACACCATAAAACATGGCTGAAAGAAAAAGACAGATCAAACAAACAAAAAAGCACCATAAAAACATGGCTGAAAGGAAAAGACAGAGACAGATACAGAGGGTCCTCGGTTTACGACGTCCTCGACTTACAGCGTTTCTTAATAACATTCAACTTGTTTTTACTGAAACAACAGTAAGGTGTGATTAATAACATTAAATTCTTATTTTTACTGAAACGACGGTAGGGCGTGGGAAAAACAAACGAACGACTGCTTCCAGTAATAAATAAATAATAAGGTTCTGTGCCCGATATGATCTCCTAACAACTGACCTGGTGCACTATGGGATTGGAGCCCAGTGGGTTGTGTGGCAGGAAGAGGAGCAGCGCAGGGCCCTTGGTCAGCTCATGTTCCAGGAGGCGGGACTTGGTTCCTGGAGGCTGCAGCCACTGCAGGAAGGTCTCGCGATGTTCGAACACCCAGCTGCAGATGGCCTCGGAGGTGAAGTTCCGCTCCAAACGAGGGAAAACCTGAAAGAAAATAAAGATTCGACACTCTGTATTTCTGTAACATTTGTTTCTACTTTGTGGTTGACATTTGTACCAGGGAGGAGTTGAATCTCCTGTGAAGGTAAACGCTCTGATCTTCTCTCAGTGAAATGGCTTCTGCCACCTGTCTGCTGGTGACGACCCCAAAGCGAACGACGCCGTGGGAATCTGCACGGAAGAAACAGCAACGTTTCAGAGCGGAGGCTGAAAAAACATCCTGTTGGTTTGACCCTCACTGGAAGTCACACAAGACGTCAACAAACTGAAAATTATTGATCAGTTATTGTTGTTTTCTGTAGTTTTTTTAGATACATTTTGGATTTTTACTTTACAAACAACTGCTAAAAAACTATAAGCTTCATGAAAGTAAAGTGAAAATGTGTTGAAAACGTTACAGGACGTCAGATGTTAAAAGTAAAACTAAATAATAATAATAATATGTTACTACAGAGTATTTAAAACTCCTGTATTTATGTTGTACCTCTTCTGAGGGCCTGCAGGGCGGAGGACAAGTACGTGATGTACCCGGGGGGCTGAGGAGAAGAGTTGAACTGGAAGAAGCCCACCACCCGAGGCTGAAATACATTCAACAAAGACGTAAAGAACCTGGAGATATTCCACAAAACGGTTCCTCCGTGACTCCCTGAAACATCGGTACCTCGTGGTAGGACAGGAACTCCTTCAGCGTGGCTCTGGACGGAAGGTACGTCAGTGGTGTGATGACTCTGAGGAGGAAACTTTCCACGTACGGAGCCACAACTGGACCTTTGTACTCGATGGGTCCAAATCTGCAGCAAAAAAACAAAGACTGTACAATAAACTGTAGTCACGTTGTCAGACTGAAGCTGGAAATACTTAAAATATTTAATACGATGATTTCTGTAATGTTTTACTTCAATATCAGCGGAATTATTTATTACTTATTGTGTTGAGAAATTTCTGCTAAGATTTATCTGAGAGCCAAATGTAGTCATCAAAAGAGCCACATCTGGCCCGCGAGCCATAGGTTCACGACCCCTGCTTTAAACGAACACAGGAAGAATGACAAAATTCTGGTCCCAGTCGTTTCAATAATTTTTATTTTTTTTAATTTATTTACCTCCTGTTCTGTTCATGTTAGAATCACACAGTTCAATATTAAAGCCCTGTCACATGTGGACCAGCAGTGGATTGAATTGTTTGTTTTTTTCCACTTACTTTCTATAAAACAGGTGGATGATGGGATAGTGGTAAAAGCGATTTTGCCGCCTGCACTTCCCCAGACTGTACCAACAGTTGACGGCCACAAACTGCACCTGTGTTTATGTGACACACACACAAAGGCAAACAGAAACACACACACACACAGCAGACAGGGAGGGGGGGGGTTGGTTATCGTACTCAGTCATGTGTGACGCATGACCTTTTCATCGACAACTAGAACATCAACCAGATGTTAGCACGACGGCATCAGTGACCAGTGACCAGTGACCAGTACCTGTTTTGCCAGCTTCCTGGCGACCTGCTGCACTTCCTGTCGAGCAGCCATCGAGTGTGCACACCACGGTGCATAGAAGAAGATGAGCGACACCTCCGCCACACTCCTCAGACGCTCCACCTGAAGGACAGATATCATCACCTTTGACCCTTGGTTTACTAATACTATAATAACCAGTAACTCCGTTAGCGCTCACAAAAGCCAGGCAAAAGAGAAGGCCATTTTCTGAACAGACTTAAGGAAGTTTTCTTTTTTAAATGTTACCTTTCAAATGAAAGTTCTCAAATCTTACCTGGTCCAGTTGACCCAAGTAAAGGTCAACTATGGGGGCCTCAGCAGAGAAGAACCGGACCGGGGGTCGAGCTGGTGCCACCACATTTTTAGCTCGGCTACAAAATGAAAAGATTTAAGATTAAAATTGGAATCAAAAATCCATAAAAACACAATTGAAAAAAAGTGAATTAAAATTTACATTTGTTTTAAATTTCAGAATATAAAAAATAGTTTTAGTAAAAAAAATTAAAAATAAGGAAAGACATATAACGTTTTAAAAGGTAAATAAATTATTGTAGTTTTAAAAATAAAATTAAACAAAGAAGTGGATCAGACAGGCCGACACTGTTGTCTTACGTTTTGTTTCTGATGTAAAACCTTGGTAAATTCGTCTGACACTGTTGTCTTGTGTTTGTTTCTGATGTAAAACCTTGGTAAACAGTGTGATGTTAAATGTAATGTTGACCAGAACCAGCATCTACAGAGACATCACTTTTGTAACTTAATAAAAAAAAACTTAAACAATTATAAATGTGAGGGTTTTTTAACTATATTCCCCGCTCGGTTGTTGACATGGTTAAGGTTCATCTTACACATGTGTCCAACCATGTATTTAAATGATTAAAAGCTGATTTAAACCTTCTTAACGGTGATTTATCCTGTAGTCTTAACTCAACAGAAGGAGCAGCTAACGAACACACTCGGGTTATTGAACCTAAAACCACAACAAATCTACATCTACATCAAACACGAAAAGGCTCGAATTCGACCGAACGTAAATCGTAAACACAAACATTTAGGAGATTCGTGTTGTTCTACCTGCATGTGAACTTGACTGCAAGCACCAGCAGGACGCTCAGAAGTATAGCCCCACAGAGTAGGTCCGGTCTCCGGGCCATCAGATACAGCACCTGCCGGAGAGACTGCCGCACCCGGCGCAGCATTACAGCACGTCGTCGCCTCCCCGTTCCATTTATACGCCCCGGCTCCTGCTTCGGTTCCTGTTGCTGCTGCTCTAATCGTCCATTTGCCTCAGCGAGCCACCGGGGCGGGGGTTGGTGACAGGAAAACCTGTTAAACGGGGGACAGAGCTAGCCTGGATTGGACATTAGTGTCTCTGCTGTCTGTAGTGTTCAAACACGGTCGGACCAACCTTTCTTCCCCACGTAGACTTTTCACTTCCGCAACAACCACGTCTGCCAAGGGATGGTCCACCAAAAAGTTGTCAGCCATGTAAACGGAAAGTCCGTCATATATACTTTTTTTTATAAAAATTTAAATAAAAACAAAGTAAAACACATTGTTTATGTTAAGTTAGATTAATGACGATGAAAAACAATACCGACAGCATTTTTTTTTTGCAAATGTTTTTTTCGTTTCGAGTTCTTCGTCTTTTCTTTGACAATCTCTTAGTTTTCAACCGCTTGGTGCCGGCGACTCGTGGACGGTAGAGGGCGCTGTTTCTGGTTTTGGTGGGAATATTATTTATACTAGTTAAGAAGCTGAATGTGAACACTCAATGTCTTCATTTGCCACAGTCAGTGTCGGAAAATTGGCAACAATGTTTGACTATATTTTATTACAAAATAATATTAAACAATATAAATTTTTGCTGATTAATTTTGAGGGGAAAAAGAAAAAGAAAAGGGTGATTTAAAAATCTTTATTTACCTGTTATTTGAGAACAATGATGAATAAAATGACTGAATACATTTGTGTAAGTGCAAAGCAATATAAAAAAATAAGTATTTCCTTGAATCTTTCATTCACTACATGAAAATATATGCTATGAACAAAGGCGACGTAAGTTGCGTTTTATCTTAAAATAAAAAACTTGCCAATATTAAATAGCAAGAAAAAATATGTTTAATTTCAAAGTATCAAAACGCTTCGGAAAACAGACTCCAGTGTTACGTACAGTATTGGTCAGTTTCTTTTTTCATTTCTCCCCTTAACGTCAATGGTTAAGACTGTAGATTCCATTTAAACTTATAAAACCAAATAAACACTAGCTAAAAGTTCCTGTAATTGAGAGTTTAATGCAAAAAAAAAAAGATGTTCAACCAAAAAAGATATTCCTGCTTTCTTCCTCAGTCAACACTGATTCCACTCAACTCCTCCTGATAAAAGGCTGGTGAGGGCTAACGGGAGCCACTTTAAGCAGAACATCTTACCAACTGCAGCTGGATCACAGACATTATGCTGCTCCATGTCAAGATGCTTGTGCAGGCTGAAGCTTCTTTACCTCTGTCTGGGCACAGATATAAAACAGGAAGTCATTGTGTTTCCTCCTCCAAAAGCAAAGCCAAAGCCATGTAAAACAACTGGCTTTCTGCACTCAGTTTTTCTGCCTTGAATGATATACCATCGAGCAGGCATCACTGTCTTACACCGCCTGTGTTTCTGGGTGCATGAGCTGCTTGACCACCAGGTATATATTGATCATTGGGCTGAAGTAGAGAGCCCAGTAAAAGAAGCAGTTGCAGATAAACTGAGGGACTAAAGGCCACAGGAGGGCGAAGGCGAACCCCTGAGATAACATTTTCCACATGTGGTTCCACATCTGGCTGGGCAAGTTCCTGAAGACAAAGAGAAGATGGGATACAATTGAAATGCCCTTCCACACCACTAGTAGGAGCCCAAGTATGGCGGTTGACACACGTGCTAAGGTTAGAGAACCACCTGGTTCAGATGGCTGGTGAAAACACGCAGCCATTCCACAGTTTGTACCTGATCCTAACTCTGGACCACAGGCTCCACAGGGAACAGCCCTCCAGCACCGACAGCAGCACAGCATTAACGATGATGAAGCGAGGCGTCCAATAGTGAACGTCCAACCAGTCCCAGGCGAACTCTGCTATCAGCTGGTATGGAAGCAGGAGGAACTTCACAAGAAACTCTGCCCACTGTCTCCAACTGGGCTGCAGCTGACAAACAAAGTCATCCAAAATCATGAATTTGAATCCTTAAATCAAGTTGTAGTAGAGTAATTCACCAAGTTATAATAACAGTCAAAGTTGTAGTCAGAGTAATTCACCAAGTTATAATAACAGCAGCAGTTACTAAACGTCATGATCACGTCATCTCACCTGTGAGAGGAGGAAGTCGGCCTCCAACGACCGGTCCATGTGTGCGATGGCTGGGCAGCAGGTGTGCAAAAAGGGCAGGAAGGTTTCCGAGTAGTCGAACAGATACAGGTAGAAGAGCGTGAGACGAGGCGATCGCTTCAGAGCATACAGCAGGAACAGAGACTTTCCAGCGTTGGCTGCCTGTCAGAGAGCGACAGATGATAGAAGGTCACTGTGGTGACATTGTACAGGTTACAAAAAAAAAAAAAAAAAAAGACACACGGAGGTTTGGGCTAACAGTTGAAAGAAAGAAAAAGACTCTCAGTATTTCTCAGTTGTTGACAAACTAGAGTGAAAAGTTAAGGCTCAATAATATACGTTTTCTCAATATATTTGTTTATATCTGTTTTTGATGTTTAGACGGGGAGTTAATTTAATTTAATTAGTCCTCATGTTGGATAAAAACAAGAACTTACTTTATATTCCCACAGATTCTGTGGTGCTTTAACGCCGAGGACTTTAATTCTGTCCAGTTCGGCTAAGACAGCTCGTCGGTGGGCCTGATTTTCGATGCTGTACGGGGGCTTCAACAGCTCCTCGTCTCCCAGCATTAACAGTAACCTGGATTAGAGGAAACAGCGCCACACTGAGGCAAAGAATAACAATGACAAAATAAATGAATTGAATGTTTTTTTGTTGTTGTTTTTGTTTTACCTTCCATTCACATTTTCCAGATGAAAAGCCTCCCTGTAGAGCTGGGCCCAGGGCCCCAGGTTCTCCAGCCAGGTCATGACCTCCACCGCCGTCCAGTGGGACACGGGTTTACTGATGAGCAGGTCGTGCTGCTCTGATGCCCCACTGCTCCAGTGAAACACCATCACCGTCACCTGGACACACGCAGAGAGAAAGTTAGCATTAATTAAAACCCAGCATTTGTTGTGGTTTAAAAAAGTTAACAGTTTTGTACTCAATAAATCTGTGCACAACAGCAATATCTTTTACTATTGACCTCATTTATACTGTTGTTAGTATTATTATTATTAATAATAATCATCAATATTTTTTATCACAGTGTTTGTATCTCTCTAACAAATAAATTAATTAATAAAATACATAAAAATCCAAATTAAAAAATATTTCTGTGCAGGTTCTCAGTCATCCAGGTCAACTTAGGTCAACTGTGATGCAACGATGGACAAAAATAAAAAATAATGTGATTTGATGATGACAAATTTTGTGTTTTCTACTTACAGCCACACATGTGAGTGCAGTTAGGATACCAGTGAAGAAGAAGCCAGCTCCTTTGTACTGGTTTGTTCTGGATCTGCCCAGGTTGTCACCATATCTACCATAGAGGAGACGGAGGCCAGATGAGAAATGCATCGGAGACACTGAACCTGGACGAGTGATTCACTTTGTTTCTTTAAGCATTTCATTTTGAATTTTAAACTCATCAAATCCATTTCAGCTTTGACTCAGTGCTGGAGGTGAGTGAGTCCTGAACATCTGTAGTTAACACATCTGTGGCCCAGAACATCGTGTAACGTTACCTCTGGAAGGCCAGTAGACTTCGGGAGATTTTGGGGTTTGCCTGAAGCCCTTCTCTCCTCTGACGAACAATTTCACCAAAAAGTTTTTCAGTGGCATCTCTGAGAGAAGGATGAGAATAATGAGAAACCCGACACAAAACGGTTCAGTTGGATTCATCGCCCGCAGATCCTTATGACCGGCATTAGATTTGCAAATGGGTAAAATCCTGAATATTAAAGTGTTTATCAACCCTAATCGTGCCTTCAATTTTTTTCAAAAAACAGCACACAGTAAAGTATTTTTACAGTTGCACAGATGTGAAAACCGTACCTCAACAGTATGTTGACTTTGGGAAAGCCTTCCCACTTTTCCCTATATTCCGGACACTGCTTCTTTGACTCCCACCACTGAGCCAAACAGTGGCGACAAAAGTTGTGTCCACAGGTCAGTGTGGTTGGGTTCACTAAGATATCGTAGCAACAGTGACACGAAAATTCATATTCGGTGATTCTGCTCTCAGCTGATGATGGACATGAGTTGTACAGTTGAAGAGAGTCGCCCGCTGGTCCTCCCAGTCTGGTGTCTAATGATTCCCACTCCATCTGCACAGATATGATCAGATAAAAAAAAGATAAGAGATCCAAAACATGAGGTGATGAGATTTAAAAAATATATAAACTGTAACAGTTTAGAGCTGAATTCAATGAAAACAAATAATAATATACACACAGTGTGCTGCCACACCAATGCAGTGGGATAACTGTAAAATCTTCTAAAATCCTCCCACTCTTGAATCTAAACAGTCCAGATCCAGGCCTGTTGGTGTTATTTAATGTGCTCCAATATATTAATAATTTAATATTTAATTTAATTTAAAAACTGGTACCCTGTAAACTTAATTAATTTCCTTAATTAAAAACTTTGGCATCAATAAAGTATCTATCTAAACAAACAGGGTTAGGTTTATGGTAGAAACGTATTACATTCACAAAAAGAAAACATGGCGGTGGTGAGAACGAAACCAAGAACCAGAGAAATAAACAGGGAAAGAACGAGACTTCTCTCTTCTTTAAAGTCACATCATTAATGCCAGGCTGTATTGTATATTGTTCTCCCCTTGTTTATGAAGCTTATTGTTCAGTTTATCTCACTGGAACACTACTTTTAGTCGTTATAAAACTCCTTGTATGTGCTCATACTTAAGGCTAATAAAGCTGATTGTGATATCATTACAAAATTAGCTGCTATCCGTGGTTAGCTCATCGCTGTGTATGAGCCGGGGCTGACAACAGGGGTAAACGATGCTACTTCGATGCTAGGTGGAAAAGAAAACAACGGAAGCCATTTTAAGAGTGTTACAATAATTATAGTAAGCCAGTTTGAGAACCGACCAGTCAGTGTAACAGCTAACAGCGAATGCTAACTCAGCGTCAGAGTCTAACCTGGTCTCCCTGGAATGTCCACTGACAGGTGACCGGCTGCAGTACCGCATCACACCGCGCTGCCTAAACTAACTCCCCGCTGGTTGTCCTGGGTGAACCGGTGTTGGTAAAGCTGTATGGAGCAGACGCATGTTTTGGTCTAAGACTGACAGTCAGTCTACACGACTTCCTCCAGGGGCTGTTACGTTTTCTACGTACACACCCACGCGCATTCTCAGTACGACACGGCTTCCATTCATTTCGACTGGTGAACCGAGCCCCGGTTGTTGTCATTTATTGGCGGTGCCTCACTTTCACCACAGCTTACGTCCTACTTTCGTCTGAACTCACATATAAAACGTCTGCTCCGAATTAAAAATTAAAATCCACAATAAATAACCAACACAACTCACCTGTCCTGAATGATCAGCTAATCTGCCCCCCCTCCTCCAAGTATTCACTTGTGGTCAGAAGGGAAATGTTCAGGTTCCAGGCTGTTTTCCTCTCTCTCTCTCTCTCTCTCTTCCCAGATGACGTTGTCAGAGAGCGAGAGTTCATTTTCAGCCATGTGACTTTTAGTTCAAAGTTCAGACCACGTCCTGGTCTATGATCTTGTGCCGAAAGTTATTTAATAAATCATCAACATTTACAGAGAGAAAGTAGTTAATGGCTGTGGAAGTAAGTGTTGAAATAAATACATTTTAAAAATATATACTGTATGTTATTATTATTATAAATATTTTAAACCGGGAGAAATTTTAAATGTAAATATATGTCTTTCGTTTTCAAAATTTAGAATGACACTTTAATCTGTATTGACAGACCAGTATGTTGATATAGTAATCCAGCAGGGGGCGGTGTCCGCCCTCCTGCTGGTGACATATCATTACCGCTGGAAAAAAAGAAGAGGGCGGGGAGGGGGGCGAACGAAGTGATGGCGTAAGACAGTTGAGGTTATATACAGACAGAAGTAATAGTTGATGACAGCCGTCGTCTCCATAACAACCCCACAGATCACCTTCATTAACGGGATATCCTGTTATTTTCCGATGACATCCTCCAGAACCGTCGGCCACATCACTGCACTATGTTCGAGGTAACGTAGCTGTTTGTCGGGCTAATTCTGCCCCGTCTCTGGCCGCCTGTGGCGCCTGGCTGCACGCTGTTTATTTGCATGACGGTCAGTAAAAAAAGTGCGCCGTGTGTCTGGAGTGAGTCCGCTCACCTGCCGTAGATTTACATATTCATCGACCTACTGTCGCACGGTAGTTTAGCCGTAGCTCCAGCGTTGACAGAGTAGCCTGGACGTTAGCTCGTTAGCCGTCAGTATAAATAACATTTAATAACGTCGCTAAGAGTTGATATTTATTCCATGTCGCTCCGTGACTGCGGGTTTGCTGCTGAGAAAGAACTTTTTTTTTAGGTAGTGTCGTCTGGTGCCATTTAAACGTGTCAAGTTTTTTTTTTGTGAGAGATAGTGTTGAACAAAACAGATAAGTTTGTGAAAAAGCTGCGGCTCCTCCGTCGGTCTGTGTCAATGTGACCGGAATATGTCCTGAAACTTATCGTTTATTTTAATTTTTTAAAGATTTGGATGGAAATGTTTCGTTTGTGATGGTGCAGTTTTCCGTTTGTTGACAGGAAAAGCACGTTACAATATTTCCTTTTTGTTTACAAACATAATTCACTCCTCAGCCCCTCCTCTCCGCGGTGTGCTATATATATATATATATAAATTTTCAAATTTCAAAAGTAATTCTTCACCTTTGTTAAATTATGTTTAGAATTGTATAATTTATTATTATAATTATTATATCTCCAAACAATTATACACAGTTCTGCAGACCTGGAGGTCATTTTGTGACTGCCGTTAGCATTAATAAAGAGAGACAATAATTGCACAGGAACATGGACCATCACTTTAAATGTTTTTTCCTCAGTCAACTTCCTGCCGTTTTATTTTATTGTTATTTATCAACAGAGTCCGTCTCGTCCCTGACTCAGCGAAGCTAATCTTGCTTATTTCCTTCCTTGTCTTTTCTTCTCTGGGTTTGAAATCCAATAGAAAATCTCTGAAGTGAACAGATGACCAGAGGTCCTTGCCAGAAGAACATCGAATCTGTTGGAGCTGAAGAGATTAAGCCAAAGAAGAACGGGTCGGCGACGTGTCTGAAACTGGGCTTCTCAGACTTTCACCACTGATCAGCGGTTTCTGTGTCTTGATGTCTTGACAGGATCCTGAACTCCAAGATCCGTTGACACTGAGTATCAATGACAGTTACCAAAAACAGAATTTGTCACCTCATGATCAGAGAACAGCGCCACCTGGTTGTGACTATGGTTGTGAGGCGCCACACATTCGGGTAGTCATCAAAGAGGAAGAAGAGGGTTGGACGGTGACTGAAACCAGTGAGTAGAAAATCTGTATGTCATCAACATCGTCTCAGTCGATGCTATATTTTCATTTGATCCCACTGATTTGTTGTTGTTGTTTTTTTTTTCTTTCCACTTTTTTATCCCCAGACGAGAGCGACTTTTTCAGGGGAGAAACAGCAGACGATTCTCCAAAAGTATGGGATCCTCATTTTTCAGCACATGGCAAAGAGAGCTGTGATTCATACGACGTGGAGGAAGAGTCCAGCAGCTCTTTCGTCTGTGACCCCGGCTGTTCTGCCAAACCTGAGGTTTTCAGAGCACGTGGAACGACAGCAGAACTGACTGTGGTGGAGTGCAGTGACACGGGGGAGGAGTCTGTCCCCCACCCAGTACGAAAGACGACCGCGGACCAAGACTGGAAGTCAAACCTCCATCGAGGGTCAAATCCTGACGCAGACCGTTTTCTCCCAGAGCAGAACCAGGATGTAGAACAAAGAACATGTCTGCCACCAGGAGCAGAACCTCACCACACCAACACGTCAGCATTTTGCCAAATAGTGAGTAAAAAAAACAACCATCAAATACACAGTTTATTCTGTCTGTGATGTCAGACATCAGATGATCTCAAATTTTACAAATATAACCTAACTCGGTGTTTTTTTTTTTTTGAGGCCTCTCCTGGATGTAAGTCAGTGGTGACGACTGGACTCACGATGACATCTTCAGACCTGGAGGAACAAACGCTCCGTTTGACGGTCAAACTGCAGGCAGAGGAGGTGGAAGGAGGAGAAGGAGATGAAGAAATCGGAGGTTTTATCAACTCTGACGGAGAAGTGTTTGACTGGGACGACAGTGAGTTTTTCACTGCAGGGACATTTATGAACAACCATGAAATCACTGTCATTTCTGTCGGGTTTGGTGACCGTGTCTATAACATTTTCTCCCAGGTCCTGACAGAGGCTCAGATCCCATGGAGAGTCCACAACGTGACCAGGTAGGTTGTTGTCAAGATGACTCTTTCTTTGATTCTTTTCTCTCCACAATAGAGATACTGAAAAATATCACTCTACTGACTGTTGAGAATAAAATAACCCTGCACTATAGTTTTTGAGTCAAAATGTGAAATAACCTTGTGGATATGGTTACAGGGTCATGACCTTTGCCAGGCTCTGCCAGGCCCAACGCAGAGATACAGCAGTCCAACACTCATCATGGAAGTCGTGGGAGACGACGATGAAAAGATAGAAGTGAAGGACAAGGACGTTTCCCACTTGGAGAGTGGTAAATAATAACAGAACCTGCTGTGATGTGACTGTATATAATAGTTAATAAATCAGTTCTGAAAATCTCTGTTGACAGAAAAAAGACAGAGAGAGAGGAGAAAAAAGAACAAAGTTTCAGAAAATCCCGTGTCACCGATCAACGACTCAGATACAGAGAAACTAGTGATTAGAACTCCAGGTGAGTTCACAGATAGACACTACTAACTAATACTACTAACTAATACTACTAACTAACTCAAAAGTAAAATGATTTGTTATTGTTATTTCCCTCAGAGAAGAGACGGAGCAAAAGGAAGATTTCAGAGGTTCCTCCTTCGTACGAAGGCCTGGACGCCGAGCCTGAAGGTCAGAAGTTGTTTTTTTATTTTTGTCATTGAGATTTATTGCAACTATACTAAAAAGTTGATGTGAATTAAAATCTTTTTTTTTTTAGTGTCAAGGCGTACAAGAAAAAGGAAAAAAGTCCCAACCACCGAGGAGTCGAAACCAAAAACAGTTCCACGCACAACAGAAAGAAACGCGACAGGGTTTGTTTTTTTTTTTTTGTTATATCTTTTAGTTATTAAAAGAATTAATTAACTTGATATTAATTGAACTTTTCCCTTTTTTGCAGTAAAACCACAAAATAAATGAACTTTTCCCTTTTTTGCAGTAAAACAGACTTGGAAAAAAACAAAAGAGAGCAGACCATCAGCTGAAGGTGGAGAAAACGTTGTTGTTCCTGCTGGTTAGTGGAAATTAAAACTGTATTTATATTACTAATTAAAAACCCACTCAGTTTTAATGAAACAAGACGAGTTTATTTTGCTTAATTGTGTGAAATAAATATTGGTTATTTTTAGGGATGTAACGAAACACTGGGCTGATGATACGAAAGGATTCGTAAAGTTTATTTATGATAAAATTCTATCCCGATTCTTAAAAAGAATATCAAAAATTATGAACTGAAATATCAGTTAGAGACTTGGCCTCTTGGTTTAACAGCAGGTCACGACCGACGTTTTTAGGCGCATACTGCCACCTAGTGTACTAGAGTGTGTAGTGTCATGGTGTGTTATTTAGCCCTGATTGTATAGTTGGTCTAATACTCCTGATTCTAGGCCTCTGATGTGTTTTTGATTTTTTTTTCTCTCCTCACAGTCAAAAAGACCCCCGGCAGAAAGAGGCTGTGCGTCCCAGTAGAAATCCCCCCCGAGCTCCTGAAGAAGCCCAAAGAAAAGATCGACTACCAGTGCTCCGTGTGCGGCAAAGAGTTTCCTCATGCCTACAAACTGGAGCGCCATGAACTGATTCACACGGGAGAGAAACCATACTGCTGCTCCATCTGTGGCCGGGGATTTAACCAGAAGGGGAACCTCAAAACACACTACAAAGTTCACTACGGTGAGAGAACGGGTGTAACGTGAGTTGATGGAAGGCGATCGCCTTCCTCTCAAACACAGACGAGGAGAAATCAAGTCTGTGGAAGACGGTGATTGAAACATAATTTGTCTCTATTTTATTTTTATGAAAAGGTCAAAAGGGCGTTCCGGACTTTGAAGACGAGGTCACGCCGATAGCCTCAGAACTCTCCGAATACTTGAAGTCACTGCCAGGAGAGTCCAAGATCAGATCATCCCTCCAGTGTTTGGAGTGTGGAACAGACTGCAAGAGCCAGTCGTCTTCAGAGGGACACCACATCGCTGCACACACACAGACTGCCTCTGAACCAGACGCAGCCGAGCACCACCCCCCCCACGACCTCATCTGCCACCGCTGTGACATTCAGTTCAAAGACAAGGAGAAGCTGGACGAACACATGAAGACCCACGTCAAGGAGAAGCGCTTCGCCTGCCCCGACTGCGGCAAGAGGTTCATCAATGAGAGCTACATACACATCCACCGGCGCATTCACACCGGAGAGAGACCGTACCTCTGCTCCCAGTGTGGCAGGGGCTTCCACACGGCATCGTCACTGAAGATACACGAGGTGCAGCACTCGGAGGAGAGACCTTTCGCCTGCTCCATCTGCGGGAAGAGGTTCCGCATGAACTCGTACCTGGTCGCACATTATCAGACCCACATCATCGACAGACCTTATATCTGCAGCGTCTGTGGCAAAGGCTACTCCAGAATCGAGGAACTGAAGGTGCACCAGAGGCTTCACACGGGGGAGAGACCCTACGAGTGCGGCGAGTGCGGGAAGAGCTTTATTTACCGCCAGGGTCTGCGACAACATCAGCGCACGCACGCAGGAAGACGCATGGGGCCGACCAGGCAGCTGGGCAGACCCAAGCAGCAGGCCAGGCCGGACGTCCAGCAGTAGCCCCGTTCTGTTGTTAGCTGTGTTTGGAAACGTTGTGGTAGAATGTTCTTCGACGTCCTGTACTTCTTCCGTTCCATTCTTCACATCTGCAGCACAGACAGTTGTCATAACTGAAAACAGAAACGCTACGGCATCAGCAGCTTACAGTGTTGTCTCTCCATGACGTCTATTATGTTAACTCTGTTAGCACAACTGTACAATTTGAGTGCCTTTGTATTCTGCATGCCAAAAAAATGACACTTCATGTTGAGAAAATATGCACAATATGTACTTTTATTTAAAATTATATGTTTATAAAACACATAATTTTTCTACAGTAGCTCTCCTGTCATGTTTTTTTAAATACTTTTCTCGCATTGCTTAATTGTTTTTCTACTGACCTGGCAACCCTGGCAGGAGCTTCCTCCCTCTGACAACGTTCTATGCTAACTGTCATCACAGTCCGAGTTTGTCTTCCGTCACTGGTGACATGCGCAGTCGGGCGGGTGCGTTTTAAAGAACATCGACTTGACTCAGAATGGACGAGGTGAGTTGTTCGTATTGACACCGGACCGGTTCTGTTAGCATGTGCACGTCATTAGCTACTCAGCTAGGTGGATATTTGTAAACGCAGCAAAAAGATACTTAGCTTTACATCAGCCAAGTGCATATTTGTAAACGCAGCAAAAAAGGAATCCGCAAAAGAAAAGAAAAAAAAATTTAAATTATTTTTAATGATATTAAAGTCGCGACAAACACTCGTCAAGATTGTTTTAAATTGTATTTGAAACGTAGGGAGGTGATGGAATTCCTACCCTGTCATGCTGACAGCATTATGTTCATATACATATTATAGTGTGGTTAGTCACAAACTGAAATGAAAAAACATCAACAAACGAGGAGAAACCATTTAAACCATGTACTTATTAAGAATGTTTCATTCAAGAATTGGACTGACAACTGGGAAAAAAAGTTCTCTGCTCCAACAAAACTTGGAGTTTCAATTATTTGTTTTAAAATCTCAAAGTCCACAGATGAACAAACAGCTACAGTGCAGCAGTGTTTTTTTAATTTTGCAGGTAAATTTTTTCAATCTCACAGTTCCTGGTACCGTGGAAGGTTCTACAGAAAGTGAACACAGAAGGAACCGTTCTGTGTTCACTGCACTGAGGAACTGATGGACCGTGACATGAGAACTCTTGGACTGCTCAGAACACATCCAGGAGTTCCTCGACATCTTTGGAAGAGACTCAGGTAAAAACATGAACAGACACCAGAGGATAAACCATTCTGACCAATCAGAGACCGAGGAACGTGAGGTCACGTGGTCGTCTTCCCACACTACAGCAGCTTCTTCAGGTCTCAGTTTTTATTGTTCTTTTTATTTCATCCATTCATCTTCTCAGCTTTCCTTCTCTCTGCTGGACGTCAGCTCACAACACATTCATAACAACGACTAAACTCAAGGCCATGCGTCTGAGGAGGAGGCCAGCAGAGGTGGTCCAGCCTGAGGGACACTCAGCTGGTCCACTGGACCAGTGTCACCCTGACGGTGAGTTACACTGGAATGTTTTTTCTTTGTTTTAATTTATGATAGATTAGAAAAAAAGAAAAAGTTCTAACATCATTTGACGTTCATAACTGTTGTTGTTAAGGTGAAACAAAAAGTGCCTTCAAACCTGAGGCTGATGAACACATGAATCACATGACTCTGTCGGCCGAGCCAGAGCAAAACCAGAACCCAGACGGACCAAAGAAGAAGTACGAATGTCTGACCTGCGGGAGAGTCTTCTCAGTCAACACTAGTCTGCAGCGACACCTTGTGATCCACACGGGGAAGAGGCCGTTCAAGTGCTTCATATGTGGACGAGGATTCAGTCAGAGTGGAAACATGAAAACACACATGAAGGTCCACAGAGGTGAGAACTAATGTCCACGTTTGATCTCCTGAAACCTGGTGACCTGAGAAGAACTAAAGGTGGTTTCTGTCCCGCAGGAGAGCTTCCTAACTGGACGTTACTCCGGGAGACGGCGCCCCCTGGACGACCTCCTGTCGCTGTTCATGTGTGTGGAGAATGTGGGATGGACTTCCCCGAGAAGCAGCGGTTGGATGAACATAAAGCAAGTCACAAAAAGCCTCACGCGTGTCCTGACTGCGACAAGACCTTCAAAAACGAGTATTATTTCAAAATACATCGGCAGGTTCACACTGGACACTCGCCGTTTTTCTGTTCAGAGTGCGGGAAGGGTTTCCTGACAGGAAATGCACTCAAGAAGCACACGTTAACTCACACCGGAGAGAGGAAGTTCCAGTGTGAGCGGTGTGGAAAGGCCTTTCTGCAGTCCTCTCACCTGAAGGTGCACCTGAGAACTCACACCGGAGATCGGCCACATCTCTGCTCCATCTGTGGGAAAAGCTACTCCAAAGCATTCACTCTGAAGGTGCACCTGCGGGTTCACACCGGAGAAAACCCCTACAGATGTGAGGAATGTGGCAAATGTTTTTACTACTCTCAAGGTTACCAGAAGCACCTGAAGGTCCACAACAAGAAGCCCAAACCACAAAGCAGACCTTTAGGAAGACCAAGACAGCTGCAGGTGGTCTACAGTCAGTAGTAGTCTGTAGTCTGCTATAAAAACAGTTCCTCGTAGTTACTCACTCTCAGGTTACACCACCTGTACCAGAAGATGTTGCTATGACTCATTAAAAAAATAAAATAAAATGGTGTTTTCTTTTAAAGTTTACATTATTTAAATTCATATGATCTACAAAAAAGTGTTTTCTTTATTTAAATTCATATGATCTACAAAAAGCTTCTTCTTTTTTTATTCTCATCAATTCCCCCCATTTTTTCTTAAACGTTCCTGGTGCTCACCTGTAGGTTTCAGGTGAGTAAACACACCTTACACGTACGTTTTACCAACTCTTAGCGGTTTGTTAGCTCTGGCGCATTTACCAACTGGTAGTTTTTATTTTGAAAAGTCCTGCATCTTTCATCAGTCCTTGGTCCAGACATCAATCATCTTCGTTGTTGTCAGAAAACAGCAGCGTTATCTAATTGTTTCTTCACTAACTTACTTGCTTATTTTCTAGGACCGCTGTACATTTACAAAAATAAAATGTATCCCGGTGGATTACATTGAAAGGCCCTTTTATTTTGTCGTCGACCGGAAGTTCTGACATCACTGCGTTTCGATAACAACAGCTAAATGTTTCAAAGGTTATCACCACATCCCTACGGTTTTTTCGCTTTATCTCTTAAGTTGGTGGAAATTATTTGGAGATGCTGCCCGAGTACATTACGAGTGGATTCTATAATAAAGAAAAAATAATGCCTTGTCATTTTAAATAAGCTTCCATGGAGCGGCCACTTTTGTACCTTAGGGGAGAATCTCTACTGAGGTTGGTCTAACTGCCTTTTGTCTGTTGTTAGCTTGTTGTGTTAGCGGCACTCAGGCCAGCGAAGTTGATGTTTCTAGAAAAATCACGATGTTAACTGTGCGCTGTGATACATCGTTCATTCTTTCGGTCTTCCGATGTTAGCCGGTTTGTTGGCGTAGCTCGCGGGCGACTAATCCCTGCCTTTTGCGTCCATAATGAGAGCTAGTGGACGCCATGTCTGTAGCTGTAAGTGTCTAAAAATGTTAGTGTTAGGTGGATGGCTGCTGACCACAGGGCTGGTCACACCAACACTGTGGCTGATGCGGAAAATCCAACACCAGAGTCGACCGAACGCTGTGTCCGCTGCACCAAAGGCGACGCGCGTTTATTCAGTTATCACAGAAACCAACAGGTTAGTTAGTTTGATGTCCACATAAAAAATAAATAAATAAAACCATCCCTGTAACCTAGGACTAGTCCCTTTAGGCCACTGCTACCACAGAGCTAGCCTGGCTGCTAAAAGATGCTTTGGTCAGTGTTAAACCTTCTGTCTGCAGCACAGTGTACAAAAAAAGAAAAAAGAAAAGTCAAAGTCAAGTTAATCCTTTGTTCTCATCCCTGTGATCTTTCATTATATTGTTCCACTATAATCACACCAAAGGGTGTGCACTGTTGCAGTTTTGCTCCAACTTGCACCGACCGATGGGAATTATGCTGCTAAACATTTCTTCTTCTTTGATTCTTTTCTTGAGTTGCCATTTAATTTCAATAAGAGAGAGAGAGAGAGAGAGAGAGAGAGAGAGATCTGGAGCGCAGGCAGGACAGTCGGCTACAGACACAGCAGTCTACAGACCTGCTGTGTTTATGTGCTTCACCAGGTCATGTTGTTGTGTGACGTAATCTCACAAAATCAGACAGATGTTTTGTTCTGGAGAATCTGATATGAATCCCAAACATGTGACACACTGTGACCAATCACACAGCTTTGAGTTCTGCTGTAACATTAGCATGTAGTGAAGTCTAGTCTGCTCCACAACAGCACTCAGATGTCGATCCACTCGTATCTAGGTTCCATTTTCCCCATTAAAAATAAGTAAAAAAATCAATTGATTTGTTCCAGCCCCCCAGAAATATACTTCATTTTCCCCATTAAAAATAAGTTAAAAAATCAATTAAATAAAAATCTAAACATCAAAAACATGGACATAAACAAATATATTGATAAAAAAATCTAAACATCAGAAACATGGATATGAACAAATATTGATAATATCAAATAATAATAATTAAGAAAACATTTTATATTATTGTTATAAAAAAAAATGGGTAAAATAACCCACAGAGGGAGACAGCGCCACACAGTGTCGAGTGTCAGGTGGTGTCTGTGGGCCTGGGCGTCCTGTCTGAGACTGTTATTATTGTTCCATGAAGTGACATATTGTTTAGAGAATGTGCAGCCGCTGTGTGTGCACCGATGGTTGTCAAACTTGACTGTTGACTCTGACTGTTCGCCTCTTCAAAGGTTTTTTTGAGAAATGGGTTCTGAAAACCAAGATGACTTTGATTCCCCTATGATTCTCGCAGAGGAAGATCATCTGGAAATTGGAGGTCTGATCAATTCTGATGGAGAGGAAATCGATTTTTCAGATCTCAGTGAGTAAATACAAGTTTATAAAAATGTTCCTTAATCTCTAAGTTGACTGATCTGAGATCAGCCTTTTTTTCCCTCTTCTCTGACTCTGTCAACGACGCTGTGATTTCAGATGCGCCGACAAAGACTCATCATCAGCCGGAGACTGAAAAACCACCATCTTTCCACAGCTGTTCCGTGTGCGGTAAAGACTTCCCGTACGCCTCTAAACTCCAGCGCCACCTACGCACACACTCGGGCGAGAGACCCTTTCCTTGCTCTATGTGTGAGAAGAGATTCCCAGAGAAGGGGCTTCTTCTGATCCATGAACGGGTCCACACTGGAGAGAAACCGTTTCCATGCACTTTCTGTGACAAACGATTTGCCAGCCAGGGGGAGCTCCGGCTGCACAGGCGGACACACACTGGAGAGAGACCGTACCACTGCTCCATCTGCCTGAAGAGCTTCTCTCGCCACTGGCACCTGAAAACGCACCTGGAGGCGATGCACTCTGAGGTCGTGGCTGGCTTTTCGAGAAAGAAGTTCCCCTGTTCGGACTGTGATAAGAGCTGTAACTCGGCAGCTGAGCTGAGGGATCACCAGAGGACTCACACTGGAGAGAGACCCTACCAGTGCTCTTTCTGTGACAAACGGTTCGCCCTGTCTGGTACTCTGGTCAGACACGAGCGTCTCCACACGGGAATCACGCCGTACCACTGCTCCGACTGCGGCAAGACATTTGCACAGCAGTGGACGCTAACAACACACATGCGAACACACACGGGGGAGAAACCTTACAGCTGCACACAGTGCAACAAGTCTTTCATAGCTCCCGGAGAACTGCGGCGACACACCAGGATTCACACGGGGGAAAAACCCTACACCTGCAGGGACTGTGGGAGACACTTCTCACTGGCAGGAACTCTGAGGAACCACAAGCGTTCGTGTCCACAGCAGAAAGATGGGACGGTGTCTGATGTCCTCTCTCACCCAGTTCAAGCACGAGTCGGTGAATCATCACAGGAAGTCCCGCCTCTGAACAACACACCTGAGGTATTCACAGTATGTCAAAAATGAGGCCTCCTCGAGAATGTTTTTTTTTTTTTTGCGTTGCTGCTTTCTTAGGTTTCAAATATTTCCTTCTATTCTAGTATTCTATTCTATTCTATACTAATAATTTGACAATCGGAGAGTCAACGATCAAGCTGCAGTAAGATACAAAATACAAAAATATAAATAATGAATAATAATAACAATAAACAATAAATAGTCAAAACACAGTCATAGTCACAGTAGGTCATAGAGTAAGAAGAGGAGTTAGATGTTAGTGGGTTTGTTAGCCCTCATAAGTGCCTGAAACAGCTACCAAATATCATTTGAATTTTTTTTGTCAGGATTATCTTTCTGTCAATTTTTTAAACTTATGCAGTTTTCAAACTGTTCTAGGTTTCAAACAGACAGAGTTTACTGAGCTCAGCTGAAACACTCTCTCCAGAGAATCTGAGTGAGGAAACGGCTCCCAGTGAGAACCAGACAGAAGCCGACGAGCAGCCGTCGGACACTGTGCCCTGTCCACAAGTGACAGTAATCGTCAAAGAAGAGGAGGAGGAGGAGCCGCTGTCTGGTGAAAATGGAATTACACGTTTGGTAACTGTTTGGTAAATGAAACTAAAGTGAACTTGCTAACGGCTTTAACATGTTTTCCACAGTGAACAAAGGTCATGAACCGCCGTCTGTCGGTGAGAATGTGTCAGCAACAGAGGAAAACAAAGATCAGCAGCAGGAGCGACAAGATGACAACACAGAAATATTAATACGAGTAAAAGAAGAAGAGGAGCCAATCATTAGTAAGTCACATATTTTACTGTGTTGCTCACTGTTCTGTTGTCCTCAAATGATTATACATTTAGGTTATTATAATATAATAATTGAAAAGATATTTCTGAGCCACTCACCGGTGACATCACACGTCCTGGAGTCCCAGTAGAAAAACATCATCATTTCACTTTGATTTGTTTTTCTTTTGTCTTGTTTTGTGTTGTTCAGTTTCCAGAGAAGCTCTTGATCCTGTTGTAACCAGTAAGAAAGACAAACGTCCAGTTTCACCCGGTCAAGAACAGGCGAAGAACAACAAAACAAAGAGCTCCTACTGCTGTGGGCTCTGTGGAAGAGACTGTCACAAGATGTCTGCGCTACAAATCCACATGAGAATCCACTCAGGGGAGAAACCCTACCAGTGCATGCTGTGTGGCAAGCAGTTTACACAGAAAGGTCAACTCAAGGGTCACCAAAAGGTCCACACGGGAGAAAGACCTTTTTCCTGCCCGGACTGCGGGAGGAGCTTCGCCCACTCAGGAGCCATGAACAGACACCGGCTCACGCACACGGGAGAGAAACCCTATCAGTGCTCCATGTGCAGCAGGAGCTTTAACCAGTCGGGCCGCTTGAGAGAACACGAAAAAATCCACAGCGGGGAAAAGTTTGACTGTCCAGAGTGTGCGAAGAGTTTCACCAGATCTTCAAGCCTTAAGAACCATTTCAGGCTTCACACGGGAGAGAGACCGTACCGCTGCAACATCTGCGGGAAAGGATTTAGTCGCTCGCAAAGCCTGAGGCTCCACAAACGAAAGCACGCGCTGATCGAGACTGAGGTCGAGGTGGAAGAGGAGGAGGACGAGGAGGAGGACGAGGAGGAGGAATCTGCCTTTAATATGAAGAACGAGGAATTCTCCCAAAGTGACAATAACTCGCCGATTAATATGTGTTTATCAGACAGGAATGGTTATAATGAATGAAGGTGTCATCACAACTGTGACCACACGAGACGAGAGAGAGCGAAGGAAGTGACTACCTCTGTGACAAGACAGGTTATTTATTTAAACTTCATGTGGTGCTTCAACCAAGGTGCGTTTAAATCAGCGGTTCCCAACCTTTTTTTGTGTCTGACAAGTTTTTTCACGGACCGACCTTTAAGGTGTGGCCGTTAAATACAACGAAATAAAATGATACGACATACGGCATAAAAACTGGTATTTTCTAAACATGATAATAAACGTTAAGCCACTGTGTAGTCAACTTTATTATTATACTGGTACCGATGCCGGTCCGCGTCCCGGGGGTTGGGCACCACTGATTTAAGGTACCGTATATACCACACCGACACTAGATGGTCTGTTATGCAGTCGTTTTTATTTAGGACTTATACACGTTTAGCATGTAGATCCAATTCCTGTTGGGGGAGGGGGGGTGAACAGTTTAAAACGTTTCCTGGTCTTTTAGCCAATTGTGTTGACAAAACATTGATGAACATTATATTAATGCCACAAATCAGTCAACAGGTGGAGATTAGAGTAACAACGTCTGACACCTGGGTTTATAAATCCCCAAGATGAGACTGAAGTGATGTCCTAACACACACACACACACACACACACATATATATATATATATATATATATATATATTGACCACACATATCAAATGTCTCAAATTCTAACCTCCTAAAAATGTTTCTGATATTTTAACTTCCACCTTTGACCTGGTCCTAACCCTGCCCTTATAAATGGACTCCCTTTGGTTTTAAAAAACAGCCTAAAAGAGACATTACTGCCACACTGTGGACACATTTTCAGCTTCCACTTTTAAAAAACATTTTTAAAAATAGGTGAAATGTCAGATTCTAATGATCTACTTCTCATTCTCGACTCTTTTTAAGCATAGTTCCTTTAAACAACAGACATTTGGAATATTCTTAGAGATAATATTTGTGTGAACTTTTCCCCCTTTAGCTGATGACCGTTGTTCTGGACCACTAAGATCAAAACACTTCTCAAAGACCAAACATTTATTGTGAATAAGAAACTAGTCGAGACAAAGAATCTTATCATTTGTAGTCATATGCTGTGTCTGTCTAACTGTTGCTCAGTGCTGCCTCCGTCTGTGTGTACATGGAACAATTTATGCAAAACAATAAATATATAAATATTACGTTTTGTGTGGGGACTGATTTCAAGACAAGTATTTTATACTAGAAAAAGAGGAGCCATAGTATAAAACTCAACAGCAGAGAACATCCACAAAGAAAGATTTAAATAATAATAATAATTAAATAATTAAAATGAAGATATTTCAAAACATCGAGAAAATGTATTAATTTATCATTTTCATAATCTTAAAAAAAGAAAAAAATGATTTATTTTTAAAACATTTGACAATTTATACAACTATAACGTAAAGACGTAAGAGGAACATAAATGCAACCTACAAGTGTTTCCGACATTCCGACATTTCCGAGGCGCAGTCAACATAACATAAAGATAAACAGACCCACACGGATGACGGGTTTAAGCTAATGGACGTGGTCTTTTAGCTCAATGACGTAGCATCGGTTAAGGTAAATAACCATTTATTTGGTTTTCTGTGTAGTTGTCTATCCAGCTGAAGTAATACCACAGGTATGTTGAGTTTTAGTTAGCCATTATTGACTAGTTTGATATAAATGCTAAGGTTAGCCAATGCTAATAA